AATCACGAAGAACCCCCCTCCCATCGCGGTGAGTTATAATTAAACAAATAGTATCGTAAAAGTAACCCGGAAATTTATATTTTCATACTTACCACTGGAGTCGACTGATACGGTAGAAGCCAATCGCCAACAGCGTACACCCGGAAGAGAAGAAGATGGAGGGGGGCGCTCCCTTGGGGCAGAAGAACCCCCCTCCCACCGCGGTGAGTTATAACTAAACAAATAGTATTCTAGAAGTAACCCGGAAAATTTTTAATCTCATTCTTATCAACGGAGATGACCGATACGGCCGAAGCCATCCGCCAACAGCGCACACCTGGAAGAGAAGAAGACGGAGGGGGGCGCTCCCTTGGTGCCGAAGAACCCCCCTCCCATCGCGGTGAGTTATAATTAAACAAATAGTATCGTAAAAGTAACCCGGAAATTTATATTTTCATACTTACCACTGGAGTCGACTGATACGGTAGAAGCCAATCGCCAACAGCGTACACCCGGAAGAGAAGAAGATGGCGGGGTGCGCTCCCTTGGGGCCGAAGAACCCCCCTCCCACCGCGGTGAGTTATAACTAAACAAATAGTATTCTAAAAGTAATCGGAAAATTTTTTTTTCTCATTCTTATAACCGGAGACGATCGCAACAGTGTACCCTTGTAAGGGAAGAAGACAGAGCGAGCCACTATCCAACGCCTGAAGTTCCTCCGAAGAAATACCCTGACGGGTGGTACCGGTGAGGAGAGGGGGTGTTTTTACTGGGTATGCACAGAGAGTCCCAGACTCCCGGCCGAATTAAAGTGACCTTACGGACATCCTTAGGCGCCAACAGTAGGCCGGGGTGCATAAATGCATTTTCCCCTCCTCTGCGCAAAAAAAAAAAATTATTAGTTTTCCTACCTTAAGGTATGATTTTGTTGCAGCACCCGCTGTCTGCGCCCCGAGTGGTATGCTCAGAAATGCTTCCTCAGCATATGCATATCTTCTGAGGAAGCATATATGAGCATATTGTCTAGGATGCAGATGCTAAACGCCAACAAAATTATATCTTCAGGTTTTCTGAAACGTCAACGAAACCTTTCAGAAATTATTTTTAAATGTTTATGATACTGTAGCGGAAACTGTATTATATTATTCAGTTTCGTAATAAAACAACATCTTCTCTCGTTCACTACTTTATTAATACTGATTCATTTCCCCCCGTCAAGGTGACTGTATCACCCCTTACATAAGGCACTCAGGTAGATGCGGAATACACGATAACAAAGGAACAAAGAAATATTTGAACTGATTCACGACATTACCGTGATCTCATACTCTAAATTCGAATGCTTAAATAACTATTCAAACCAACACTTTTAAATACACTTAATACTTTAACTAATTATTTAATTATTTTAATTAATCATATTTTAATAACGAATAATAAGTATGATATGAATATGAATACAAATAAGAAAGATAAACGATAATTAAATGCTTGTACTACTGCTTCTACTAAATTCTAATTTACAATACATACTAGTAATGTAATGTAAACGTAAACAAAAATCAGAAATAATTCAAAACCGTTAATAAAACATTTTAGTAGTGTACCGTAATTGTCAACTGTATGCTGCAAAAACATTTCAATGAAACATAAAAAAGGCCGGACATTAGCAGTTTCAGACACGTTTCAATTATGTTTCAAAAATATGTTGAAGAAACGTTTCATGTTTCAATAATATCTATCAGAAATGTTTCTGCAAGGCAAATTTGTTTACTGGGAAGTATGGATGTAGTATTTTGAATGATAAGTTTTATATCTAACTAAAAGTACTAGTATACTCTATATACAAATTATTTACAAAGAAAATATAAATAAATAAAAATGAAGAAAAACGAATCATTTATTGATTCGCAAATAGGTTTATTTATTTTAGTGTATGCCTTATTCTACGGGCAATAATATACGGGAATGTTCGGCGATAATCGGCCGCTGGTCCGATCTGTGCACGTTCATTGTTTCAACCGGTTTCGACAAAGGTTGTTAGTAAACAAACCGCGTGTTGCGTTGGCTTCAAGTTTTAGTGTTTACAACTGCTTCTATATATACAATTTCTTTGGT